AAAGGTGAAAAAGTCTTCTACTAAAGCAGAACTAGCCACTGAGAACCTCCACTTTCTCATTGCTACTGTACTGGAGCACATAAACTGCCTGGGTACGCTAGACCCCAAAGATCACCTCCAAAACTATGTTAGCAATTTCAGAAAGTCTCATTTTAATGCATTTTAAAATACTTTAAATGTGAGCAGTGGCCTCTCTAAATTATTCTCTGAAAATAGTAATTTTAATAAAATGCAGATTGTGTTATTAAAGCACATTAATTGAGGTCTAAATTAAAAATTAAAGACAGATTTCAGGCTCTAACTAGCTACCACCTGTTCCCATAGACTATTTCCCATCGCGTTGCCCAGAAAAATCTCGAATGCAGAGTAAGTTTACAGCGGATGAGACTCGAGGTGAGAGCCGCAGGGACAGATCCCACGCCGAGCTCTGAGAGGACTCATTCTCACACGGCTGTGGCCACCCCTGGGAGTCTGGCCTGTGCACGGTGTAGAACAGTTTCCAAGTCTTGGCAGTGAGGCCACATTGGTTTCTGAGGTCGTGTCGCTCAGAGGGTGCTGTGGTTTTCTGAAACGGTCAGGAAAAAACCCTTTGGTCTTTCCTTTAATCAGTGGCTTTCTTTGAATACAGAGTCACAAGTGAATGAGTCACAGACTAACCGGAGCAGAACAAGGACACCGTGATGCTTTGCAATTCAAGCGCTCAGTTTGTACCTGCAGGGATCTTCTCCAAGTGCACTTTGGCTTACGACACCTAGAATTAGCGAGAGCGGTCTAAGGGCTCCGTGAAACGCAATCTGGGCCTTTGTTCTAGTTTCCTACTGCAGTTGTTTTCACTGTCTCAACACACCATGATACACATACATATATGTGTACATTTAGTATGCGTGCGTGTGTATATGCATATGTGTGCACTTCTTAAACTCATGGCTAAGTTCTCATGATTTTGGCTGATCTACCTGTGGTCATACTAGAATACTTTTACGTGTCTCTCCATTTAAAAATACCTGTATCTAAAAAGGTCTCTGAACTTACCGTGTCAGCTCCCCGTTGTGATGGCATTTGTCCCAAATTCAGCAATGCCCATCTAGGCATGGTCCTGTGGTCCTGGCCTGGTGCCCTGTGGCTGGGCTTCCTCCTCGGCATTTCTGTCACTGCTGAATCGAGGTGCTGACTGGGCTCAGCTCTTGTCTGGGGGCTTTGGGAGAGAAATCTGCTTTCAGGGTCGTCACAGCTGCTAGCAGGATTGGGTTCCTTGTCATTGAGGCCTCGGGTCCCTGTTTCTTGCCTCCTGCCAGCCAGGCACCACACTGAGCAGCTGGTGGCTGCTGCCAGTTCCTCTCCTCCATCCCCTCCGTCCTCTCCATCCTCCAGCCAGCAGAAGTACCCTGAATCCTTCTTTTCCTTTAAGTCTCTGATTCATTCCCTCTTTGGGGGACAGCCAGACAGTGCACTCCACTTTCTGCGGGCTGTGTGGTTACACTAGGCCCACTCGGATAACCTCCACATCCTTCAGTTAATCAGTTGGTTACCTTGATTACATCTGCAGAACCCCTCTGTCCTGGAAAGTAACATGGCCACGAGGCCCATCTCACAATTCTGCTTGCCTCACGCACATTATGCAGACCTTATACAGGTCTTAGTGTGAGTAATGTGAGAAATCATCTGGAACATTAAAGGTAAATCACCGTAATGCATTATTGTGTTTAGATTAAATTGCTTTTATTTTGAATGTGACACAAAGATTTTATGGTGTGAAAAATAAATTTCCTTTATAAAATGTCTTTAAAAATGTTGCAGATTGGGCTGGGGATTTAGCTCAGTGGTTCCGGCGCCTGCCTTGCAAGCGCAAGGTCCCGAGTTCAATCCTGGTACCAAAATAAATAAATAAATAAATTAATTAATTAATTTAATGTTGCAGATAATGGAACATTTAAAGACAAGTTTAAAGGACTACTATAAGTAGTACACTAATAGCTACCATACAGAGTTGTTACCTGGATTTTTTTGGATCCGTCGGTGACAGGGAGTTGTGTATCTCCTTGATGTCTGCTGTAAGTCGTGGTCTTGTCCTGTAATGATACCAATTCACAGATTTTACAGCTACCAGTGTCAGAGGTCACGTGCCTTTTTCATGGAGAAGCCAGAGTCTCAGGGAGCTCATGTGACTCAGAGAAGGCCACACACCAGCCAGTGAGTGATGGGGCCTGGACGCCTGCCTGGCAGTGCAGCAGTGCCATCAGTGATGACCGTATGGTACAGACTAGAGTGTCCAACAAAGCCTCCTGTGCCAGAGGCGGGGCCTTTGGAAGGTCAGTGGATGGAGGGGCGCTGTGCTCACTGGTGGGTGAGTCCAGTGATGAGCTGGTGGCTGTGTGTGCTGTTAGGAGGCGGGGCCTGGTCAGGCGCGGGTCACTGGGGTGTGACCTGCAAGGGTGTGTTCTTGTCCCCACCCCTCCTCACTCTCCCTCTTTCCTGGCTGCCAGGAAGTGAGCAGCTCTCCTCCACTACACCCTCCCCCATGTCATTTCTGCCTTGTAGCCAGGTGGCTATGGACTGAACCCAAAACCATGAGCAAATTAAAGTTCTCCTCCCTTAAGATGTGGGTGTTGTATTTTGTCCCAGTGATGGGAAAATGATTAATACAAGACTCTCTGTATAAGACTGTTCTAAGCACTCTAAGTGTTTATTCTTCTTAATTCTCACAAAAATCCTATGAGATCCATATCACTAGAATCATTATCTTTTCACAATGTGAGAAACTGACTCACAGAGAGGGTGGCTTGTCAGTGTCACCCAGCTTGTCAGTAGTAGACAGGCAGTTTGACCGCGGACAGAGCTTGCTCTTTCCACCCACCAGGTGGCTGCTGAGGCCTCCCCGGCCAGTCTGGAGCTGCCATGGTGTCATCACGCACAGCTGCACAGACTGCACAGTGCTTGTATCCTGGCAACAGGTTAATGGACAGCAGAGAATTTGGAGAGTGGCAACTGCATAAATTCTGGTTCTGTCACTTACTGTATGGCTTCAGGGAATTCTATATTCGAATTTTCTCTGCTTGTCCTGAAATTGATTTTATACCGTTTTATTTGTAGGGCTTCTTATTTTGTTTTGTTTTGTTTTCCCAAGCAAAAGTCAAACTACACTGACACTTGATGGCTGCATTTCCTTGATATATTTTAGTCTACAGCAATTCCCTCACTTTGTTTTTATTATGTTTGTATTTTATTATGTTAAGAGACGAGTCTCATTCTCTTGAATGGTATCCCATGTTCTGGGTTTGTCTAACCCTCCTCTGTGTGTGTTGTTTATCTTGTTACTCTATCCCCTGTATTTTGGAACACTGGAAGTTGGTCCCAGAAACATGATTAGAAAAGGTAGTTTTTGGCTAGAACAGCTTTGTATGTCTTGTATCAGGAGGCATGCACAACTGCCTGCATTATTAGCACTGCTGTGTGAGCACTTATGATGGTGATAACCAGGTCGCTCACATTACATTTTCTTTTTTCTCTGACTCCTTTGACAGTTTGAACTAATACCTCTTCTCAGTCTTTTCATCTAATGGTTTTAGCCTCCATTGAGGAGCCATGAGCCAATCATTTATTCCAATGGAGGTTGCAAATTGATGATTTTTAAATTTATCCTTCCTTTTTCATTTTTGGCGGGGTGTCAGAAATTGAATTCAGGACCTTGCGCTTTCGAGGCAGGCGATGGCACCACTGAGCTAATTCCCCAGCCCTCCTTTTACATTTATTAACTAATATTGGGAAGTGTTGTGTCTTGTTAGAGTTCATATCAATACAACATGTTTACTATTAATTTTCTAAAATATTATCTTTGGGTCAGTGGAACTGAGTTGTAGGTTAATCATAGTTTATGTTTGGTTTGCACTCTCTAAAGCATATTGTAGTGCATTACAGTTGAAATGGAAAATGGATGAAATTTAAAGCCATGTTTGAAAGTGGTGAGCAGTGTAAGAGGCTCCCAGAGGACTGGCACTGACTGCCTGTTGGATCCAGAAGAGCTAAACGCACTCCGTCCTTGTGGATGGATGGATGTTGGTCCTGAGAAGAAGGGCCTGGGTACAAGTCTCAGGCTCTCACCCTCCTGCTGGCTGCTCTCCGCTCACATTCCAGCGCTGCGGGCCCTGATTTGGGCTGTCTTCTCCTCCCTGCTCCCTACCCTTCAGATGCACGCTCACCTTTGTTCCCTGTTCAGAGTCCCAGCTGCTGCGTTTCATGCCCAGCTCCAGCCCTGCTTCTGACCATCGGTGTGTTGACTCCAGCTCCTGCCTGGCCATCTCGTGGCTGTGAATGTGAACTTCATCACCACGCTGCCAAGGACCCTGAAGACACGACTGCCTGCGACCAGGAGTTAAATGTCTTTCCCACAGTACTGTGGGTTTTTATACTCCCCCAGGAGAGTCTCTGAAGGTCACCAAAGATGTGAAACTGCTGTCAGGCAGGGCTCTTGGTGTGGCTGGCTTTCTTTGCCTTCTGATATCTCTCAGGTGACAAAAACAGATTTTCTTGTAAAAATTAAGGCTAGAATTTGAGTATTTCTCACCATCTGTTCTGTGTAAATAGTACCAAGGTCTTAATTCTTTTACTATGACAAAAACAGGAAAAAAAGGTAGCTATAAATTAATCTGGCCTTTAAATATTACAATTAAAACTGAATTAAAATGGAAGGCATAAATTAACCTGGCATTTAATATTACAATGAAAACAAAGCTCATTCTATTTTCCTTAGGTTGAATTTTTTTCCGATGTTAACGATTTGAACACTGTTTAAAATGGACATAAAACAATGGTGTTTTGTACTGCTTAAAGATTTTTTATGTCACTCGACAAGACGTTTAAAATGCCTTTCCCTCTGTCTTCTGACTAGGAACAGTGTGTACTGATGCGGATCTTTTCCTCCGAGGCCCTGGACGTATTGGCTGCATCCTTTGTTGCCAGGTAGTGATGACAGAGCTGACACCTCATGGTTTCTGTCTCTGCAGAAGGAGGAGGTAAAAAGCTTCGGAGTACGGTGCAGAGGAGCACGGAGACTGGGCTGGCCGTGGAGATGCGGAACTGGATGACCCGGCAGGCCAGCCGCGAGTCCACCGAAGGCAGCATGAACAGCTACAGCTCGGAAGGAAAGTGAGTGGGCACTGCGCTGCCTCGCCCTGACCGGGCCTCTGTCCACACCCGCACTGCCCCCACCAGCCCTCAGCGCCGCAGGCTGACTGCCTGTGGGAGAACGCTCTTGCCGGCCACCGAGCAGAGCGACTCCCGGCTCTCCGTGTAAAGGAAATCGGTTCCTGCGGAGTGTTTCGCTCTCATGGCAGGATGCTGAATCACCTGCATTTAAATTATATCGCCCTTCTGTGAACTGATACAGGGACAGCGCAGAATAATAAGGACTCACGCCACACTGTGCTAACAGTGCTAACTTTTTAAAACTTTGATCTGCCTAAGGGTTATTATTTTCAAAATTGGAATGCTGATATATATTTAGTTTCATATAATAGCAATTATATTTCACATAATTTATAATCTGATACTTAGTTCCATGTAGTCATAATTTTAATGAAATCAATATATAGCAAAAATGAAGCTGTCACTGCATGAAACTAAGTCTTTATCAGCACATTTTAATTTTAATTAATAAACTATATGAAGTAAACAACCCAAAGGAACTGCACCAAAAAGTTGGTGAGCCCCTTCTCCGTGTCCCTGTAGGAAGCTTTCCTGTGAATCAGCTGCCTTTGAGACACTCTAAAAGCATCTGTAAAGATCGTACTGTCCCATCACCGCCAAGTTGGTGGTAGTGGTGACTACAGAGATGTGAAGGAGGGGATGAAGGACAGTGATAGAAGGGAGCAGGGCTGTGGCCTCCTCCGCCTCTGCATGGCAGCCTTAGACGCAAGACAGGCGTGCGATGGGTGTGCAGATGGGAGGTCGCAGGAACCTCCTGCTTGGTGCTGTCGGTCTGGCAGGATGACATGCAGATAAGAGGCGTCCGTGGCCTCTACACATTCCTAAATAGGGCTGTATGGGATATTTTGTAAATGCGCCAAAACATTGTGTTAACTAAATATTTGGGAATTGAGAGGAGGGGAAAGAAGCAGATGCATTATTCACCCAGGAAGTTTGAAAGGAAATGGAGAATCCAGTGAAAAATCAAGGTGCACTGAGCACAGATGGTGAACACAGCAAGGCCCTGCAGACCACAGAAGGCTGTGTGAGCTGTAGCCTGGCCCCGGGCACTTCCGGTCTCGCCTGCGCACAAACCCTTGGCACACGGTCCCCTCTCAGCCAGCACCCGCTGAGCTGGGGCGTGGGGCTGTGGCCTGGGAAACTCCAAGGCCCAGGTGTTGTCAGGTCTTTGGCATTGCAGAAGCTGGGGGAAATGATTTTTCCGGGCTTCATTTTAATTGATTGGGTGTAACAAGTGTTTACTGAGTGCGTGAAGTAGTCCAGGCATGGATCTAGGAGGTAAGATACAACAGCAGGCAAAGCAGACAGGAGCGGGCCTTCATGAACCGGCCGTCTGCTGGAGAAGTTACTTTGAGGGGCAGTAGCCCAGTGTGTGGTAGATGAGGTGAAGGGAGTGTGAAGGAGGAGGTGAGGGAGGAAGAGATGAGAGTCCTGGGCGGGCGGAGTGATGCGGGAGGGGCAGGACGATGAGCACTGCGGGGCGACCCCAGGCTCCCAGCTCAGGGCCGGAGCCGGCAAGAAGCCTGGCCTCTGCTAGGGAGTGGGCCTGACCTCGTGCTTCGCAGGCCAGGCCACCGTGTTCGGGACTGGGCGAGGGGGCAGTTTGTGCGGCATAGAGGCGCTGGCGGATTCAGGCACCGGGTCTTCCGTGACACAGAACAGGAAGAGCCACCGAGTGGGTGCGGGTGGGGACAAGCGGGCTGAGACACCACGGTGCCCCGGGCCAGGGCCCACAGCGAGACCCGGGCTCACAGGCCGGCCCCCAGGGCCTCCTCTCTGGCTCACAGTGGCCGCCCGTGTCCTCGCGTGGCCTTTTCTCTGCACCCTGACACGCGTGGATTTACAGTGGACTTGACTCAGCCCGCAACAGAGGGGGAGATGGCCCACGGCCGGGCAGGTGGGAGAGGGAAGTGGCCATTTATTGGGATTGGATCCTTTGGAGGACCAGAGTTTGTTTTTTCAGTGTAAGGGTTTGGGGGCGAGTTTTGAAGGAGATTCAAATGATGTGAAACACTCACGCAGCTGTGTAGACCAAGCAGTCGCGACACGGTAGATCTGAGCGGGAGGTAGCACTGCGGGCATCGCCCTGCGGATCACGCTGAAAACATGAGCGGGGCAAGATCACCCGGGCAAGCAGGGATTCCGATGGAGAACAGAAGAGAGAGCCCTGCGTGTGGCACACCTGTCATCCAAGCATTCCGGCAGGCTGATGCAGGAGGAGGGCGAGTCCTAGCCCAGCCTGGGCAACTTAGAGATTTCAGCCAGAGCCTGTTTTCAGATTTAAAAGGGCTGGGGATGTGGCTCGTGTGTAGGGTCCAGGAGGGGCTTGCTCAGCTGTGCATGCAGCCTTTGACCGTGAAGGAGGTCCGGAAGAAGGCGAGGACCCAGGGTCTGTGTGGCTGCGTAGCTGGGAGGGCCAGAGAGGGAGACCCTGCCCTGGTGAGAGTGCTTCACACTGAGCACTCGTGACCGATGCGGCAGCCCTGCCTGCAGGCCGGGAGAGGGACACTTGCGAGCAGAGGCCCGCAGTGCGGTGACGGCCTCAGGGACCTGGGCAGCACATGGGGTGGCGTCCAACAGAGGTGAGAGGCAGGCCTGGGACCAGCCGACCCGCAGTGTGCAGACACCTGGGGACTGAGAGCCACCTGTGTCGCTCTGTCTGCAGTCTGATCTTCCCCAGCGTCCGCCTGGCCTCCGACAGCCAGTTCAGCGACTTCCTGGGTGGCCTTGGTCCCGCGCAGCTGGTGGGACGCCAGACACTGGCCACTCCTGCGATGGGTGAGTTCATCCCACATGCTTCTAGATTCTTGAAAATTACCTTCTCTGAATTTCAGAGTCCAATAAACAGTGTCATCAGCAGGGATAAAGTATCTTAGATCTTAACAATAAAAATATCATTTTCCTACTGTAATTTCCAATGGCTTTTAGAGGAAGACACCGATAACACTTTAAATGTATTTAAATCTCGTAAATACTCGGGAGTGGTGGGAAGCCCAGGCCTCTGGCGCCTCGCTGCTCCCTGCACTGCAGTAAGGATGCTTGTTTCTCCCGCCGCCACCAGGTGACATCCAGGTGGGAATGATGGACAAGAAGGGACAGTTGGAGGTGGAGATCATCCGGGCCCGCGGCCTTGTTGTGAAACCAGGCTCCAAGACACTGCCAGGTAAGCGCAGGGGTTTTGTTCTTGTCCACAGGCCCAGTTTCACTTTGGAGACTTTGTTTTGCTGGAACCGTGGTTCTTAATCAAATCAAGGATGCCAGGAGACAAGTCGGTTACCTGACTAGTTTGGGGCATTGCAGTTTGTGTGTTTGTCCTGTGACTGACTGTTCAGTGTCCCCCATGGGATAGATGATGTGTTAAATACCGGGTAGGAGGGACCACTGCCAAATGCAGAGACTGCCTAGGAATCACATGGTTCATTTTGTCCCCACATGTACCGAGAACCTCTTGCTTCCTGTTAGCGGGTGTTTGGTGTGCTCCAGCTTGTCGGGATTCTCCTGAGGCACCGAGGCTCTGGAGTTGGAATAGAATCGGTGGCGGCCCCAGCGGCATCAGCCCACACCTGCTGTGTGTCCGATGGCAGGACTGTGCCTCCTCCGTGTGTGAGGAAAGAGAGGCACTGTTAGGCCTCGTGCCACACATTTTACACTGAAATGTCACCGGGCGTGGCACAGCGACTGCAGAAACCACTGGATGTGATGTGTAAAGCCACTCTGAGAACTTCCAGATTGGCCTGTAGCCTCAGCACCTCCACTGACTCCTGATTCCCAATCTCTCACCCTCTGTATCCTTGCAGAAATGTAAAGTCCAGTGCAGACGGCTCACTGAGCAGCCATGCCACGGGCTGGCAGTGTGTCCGTGGAGGGCTTGGAGCCGGCCGGCCCTCTCTGCACCAGGGAATGCCGTGACTTAGAGCGTGCACGCACACGTGATTTTTACCAAACATCTGTCAGATTGGTTTTGAGCCATAGGATTCATAGCTAGCTGCCTCCTCCCTGCACATCTGAACACATAGCATCCAACCCACCCGTGTAGTCCCCACACCCACCAGTGAGTAAACGCTGGGAGTGAGAGCGATCTGCAGGCACGAATAAAATAACAAGCTTCTGAGCCAGGTGCGGGGACAGCAGGGCCTGCCGTGCCACTCCTGGCGCCTCCTGGAGAATTTTGCCTAATCTCGTGCGGGGATCCAGGAGCCAGCTGGCAGCAGAGGTGTGTCCCACCCCCGGCCCCCTCCCTCTCAGTGTGGCCCTGTAACAGCCCAGCCGGGAGGCCCAGGGCGTGACCATGCGGCTTTCTGCCCTGACACTGACCCGACCCGCTGCCTACCAAGGTCCCCGAGAGCCAGGTGCTCCGGGGCCTCACGCATGCCTGTCCTCTCTCCGCTCTCTCCCCAGCACCCTACGTAAAGGTGTATCTCTTAGACAACGGGGTCTGCGTAGCCAAAAAGAAGACAAAAGTGGCAAGGAAGACGCTGGAGCCCCTGTACCAGCAGCTGCTGTCCTTCGAGGAGAGTCCGCAGGGGAAGGTGTTGCAGGTACGCGCTCGACCCCACCCTATGCAAGTCAGCCTCTTCCTGGACTTAGGCCTTGTGTCCACCGCCCTCGCAGCTGAAGCTCTCTGAAAACCCACCACGGTGGCAGTGCCGTGACACTGCATGTTGTTCCCTCTAAAGAGAATCGTAGGCCCCCGAACTCCCGTCAGGACCAGCTCCGGACTCCCCAGACAGCTTCTGACCCCACGCTCAGTGGGCCTTCCTGTGTAACTTGGGAGCCAGGTGTTGAAGACAGCCGCCCCACTGCGCGCAACTGTTTAACTTCCTCCTTCTCCTTCTCCTTCTCCTTCTCCCCTCCTCCTTCTTGTTGTTGCTGTTGTTGAACCCAAGGTCTGGTGCATGTAGGCAAGCATTGTACCGCTCAGCTAGATCCCCAGCCCTTTCTAAATTTTATTTTGAGACAAAGTCTTGTTGAGTTGCCCAGACTAGACTCAAACTCTCAATTCCCCTGCCTCAGCCTCCCTAGTAGTCTGGTATTACAGGCATGCGCCACTGCACCTGTTTTAACTGGAGCCTTGATGTCAGCACATTAACTGAAAGTATTTTAGCCTTTTAATTTATGCTACTGGTTTTTGTTGGACACGTGACTATTCTGACATTACTTTATGTTTTGCCAACAGATCATTGTCTGGGGCGACTATGGCCGCATGGATCACAAGTCCTTTATGGGAGTGGCCCAGATCCTTCTAGATGAACTGGAACTGTCCAACATGGTGATAGGGTGGTTCAAACTGTTCCCCCCTTCCTCCCTAGTAGACCCCACCTTGGCCCCCCTGACGAGAAGAGCTTCCCAGTCGTCTCTGGAAAGTTCCACAGGACCTTCTTACTCACGTTCATAGCAGCTGTGAAACTGTGTCTCGGCAACCAGCGTTACAAAAAATCCACAGGTCGCAAACCCTGGTAACACTGCATGCTTACTGTCGTGTCTTCTGAGCCCGTTTCTAGGGGTGCGAAGCGACCCTGTGTCCTCAGAGGAAGTTGCGCACATTGTGCCCTAGCGAAGGTCCTCAGGTGGCAAGCGGAGCGAAGGACTGTCAGGCCTGGCGTTCAGTGGCAGAATTCGGGTCCATGGATTAATCTCAAAGAATCGTCACTTTCATGCGACAAAAGCCCTTTTCAATGGCACCTTTATATTTTTATCGTTCGTTTTTCTTCATTTATCTGACCCGAAGCCCTGGTATTCCACAGAAATGGAGCTTTCCAGCAATGAAGCCATGTCACAGGTCCCGGAGCGAGGTCCTAGGAAGCACCAGGTGAAAAGCAGGAGACCAAAGAAGTGGCCGGGAGCCGTGTCTCCCATCCCCGGCTGGGGACTCTGTGGGCAGCGAGACCGGCTGGCAGCTCACATACTAATGCCAAGATGTGCCGGGCTCTGAAAACCAAATTCCGTGGCTACACTGTACTGAATGAAACTACAGACACTTTTTTTGCATGGACACAGATTAGCTGAATACTTAAATTATTTTCTTGGGGCTGCAACTTGCAAAAAAAGAATAAAATCAGCCATTTTCAACAATTTATATTATTTTTAAAAATAAATTTCACTAGTGCATGGTTTTAAAACTGGGAGAGAATGCAACAGGGTGATACACAGACATACCATGTTTATTCTTTATCAGTCTGTATTTTGGCAGACATTACAAATGAAGATACTTTCTAGAAGATACTTAAAATTCTCTTTATGTGACAAATATAATATATTCAATTTATTTCCATGTTAAATATGCAAATCTTATGAAGTTCAGTATGTACAGATTTTTCACATCTTCCTTCCTTTCCTGTCTCATTTTTCTTTTTTCTCATAGTCTTTTATTTTCTTTTTCCCTACCACAGTAAACCTTATACTAAAAAATGACAGGTTTTTGATTCATTCTCTCTTCTGCCCTATGTTTGATTCAGACCTGTAGATGCTTCTGAATTTATGAATTTCTCAAGGGAAAAAAAAATCTGTTTAAGAGCTCTCTTTATTTCAAGCATGTTGGAAAGGGTTTTGGGACATGGCTCGGGATTACAGTGAAATAGATCAGCATGGATTTGACAAAGGAGATATTTGAACTTTTGCAATTCATTGTACAGTACATGGTCATTTTTTTTCACCTTCAAAATTCACTTTAAAGGAAACCCCGAAGTCATGTGGCCATTAACTTCTAATAAATTTGTTTTAGCACCAGCATTATTCATGTAAGGGTTAAAGTATTGTTTCTTGGAGGGCTTAGATTTTGTTTTTTAATTTGTTAAGACAGTTTCTTTCGCCAGTTTCCATATACTGTGTGAATAGACACACAGCTAAAAGTTGGAGCCCTAAAACACAGGGAAATTTATTCATTTTTTTGTAGTAAAATTCAATTTTTCACAAATTATATTTCTAAAGAAATATAGTAGACATAAATTTGCCACAATTTTAAAGCTCCAGTTTTTAGATGACTCAGAGAAAGTCACTATGTCTATGAATAGTCCTTTGATGCCATCACCAAAAGTCTCCAGGCAAATCCCTGAAGTCGAAACCTCTGCCTTTGGTTTTCCTGACAGCTCTTACCATCCGGCAGAGCTGCTGGGTCAGACTTCTCATTCCCTCTGAGAGGAGAAGTCACTGGGTGACATCATCAACCACCTGTACTTCCTGGGGTTTATGTACGCCTTAGTAGCATTCTTATGGATAGGTTTCAATGTCTTGTAATAATTTTTGAAATCCACATTTATCCCATTTGTTTAAACGAAAGCCATCCATAAAAATCACTTTTTTTTAAATTCAGTGCTGAGCATTAAAAAGTATCATGCTTGATATGCTGCAGAAGTTAAACCGAGTATCCCTGTACATGCCTTCTCTCTACATGGTGCGATATGAACTATACTGAGGCTGGTCTTGACATTCTAGCTGTGTGATGGCCCAGGCAAGGTTGTTCAAAGAACACATAAAACTTTATTGAAATCATTTAGACTCCTGTGTACCAGCAACAGTTGATTTCATAGACCTAGAGTGTCTATGCCACCCCTTAGAATAAATGTTTGCCATTTTCCTGATCCAAGAGGCAGTCACACGATCTTCTGTGCGTGTTCCTATACAAATTGTTTCTAATTTTAATAAGAAGGACTTGCCTGTGTGGGATATTTGTACATACTTGTCATTATGCAGTATTTATTTAAAAGTCGATGTGTTTTGTTTATTTTCACATGTCTGCACCTCGACTCGACTCGTGGTTTAGTTGCGTAAATAGCAGTAAGCCAGTGACCACTGCTGCCCTGTACATAGTGTGTTTTAACGTAAGGAAATTCCAGTTGGAAAAAGGGCAGATGAGTCCCGTAACAAACACCAACTAATGTAAATCAAATTCATTCTGGTGATGGTATTTAACACTTTAAATAAATCATTTTCTTTATACACAGTGTCCGAGGTGCTTTCTCTGACATCTTATCTTCACGCATGTGCCTTCGGCACCCTCATGACTCAGATGCGACATCCTTCCCCAAATCCCTCTCCAAGACATCAGGGCACCACAGCCCCTGCAGCCCTGGAAGAGCGTGAGCGGGGATTTGGAGCAGCCCTGCCTGCCTGTCCGCTTAGAGTCACCGGGTGCGGAGTTCTCTGGGTGCAGACGTGGCTGGGTGCCGTGTTCCTGTCCCAGCCGGCTCCTGTGGGACAGCGGAGAGAGGAGGGGCCCGAGGCCTTCTAGGCTGCTCCTCGGCGGGGTCCCAGCCTCCAGCATCTCCTGGAGTGGTCTGATGCCGGATTCCTTAGTGATGGAGATCTAAGACCAGCCCGCCCCATCCTGGAAACAGCTGTCTCCTCCAAGTGTCTCCCAGCGGGGCTCCCGTCAGGCAGGCGGAAGCCAGGCGACACGGGGGGTGGGGTGGCGGGGTGGTGGGGGTGGGATCTCAGTCCAGTCCTGCGCGTGAGCACTGGGCGGGCGGCAGCCGTGGGGTCAGGAGTCCCAGGCCGACACGACACAGATGTGCAGCCTCAGCCCCACGGGCAGGCGGGCACAGGACCCAGGTGGAGCTGGGTCTCGGGCCTGTGCTCCTGCCCTCGTCATGCACGGGGTCTCCCTCCTAGCCACCTCACGTCTCGCTGGGCCGTGGGCCTCACTGCTAAGGAGGTGATGGTGCCGCGCGCTTGTCGGTCCCCGGTGGCCTGAGGTTTGGCCCTTGTCCCCTGGGAGAGCTTCCGACACTTCAGAACAAGGCAGTCGCTACCCCGTCAGGCCCTGGCCGTGCCGACCCTGTTGCCTTGGCGCCGGCTGCCTGGTGTCCCCTGACCACGCCTACTTGGCAGGTTGGGCTCATTTTCCATCCCGACTCCCGAGTGGGTCCCTGAGTCCCGCAGCCCTGCAGACAGCTCCGCCCGGGAACTCCTGGCCTGGCATCCTTGTCACCCATCCCACTGAGGGCTGGGGTCCCCCTCCAGCTCGGCCCCAGCCTGGGTAGTTTCCCGCACCCCGGCTCTAGGGAGCTCACCCTGCCTGAGGGACAGTCCTCTCGCAGGGTGCGCTCTGCCTTCAGCCTTCTCAGAACGATCCATTGGTCGTCTGCAGCTCACGCAGCCCAGTTTCTGACTAGACTGACGTCACATCCTCCACCAAGGCCGAAGCCTCACGTTCCTGGGCTCGGGTGCTGCTCACCGAGGCTGCGGTGCTGTCCCGCTACCTCTCCAGTCCGCTGGCATCTGCGGGCTGAGCAAACAGCCCTGTGAGCTCCAGGGAAGGCTGAGCGGCTCCCCCTGCGCTGGGCTCTCTGCCAGCCCCTCCACCCTGAGGCCAGGGCTGAGATGCACTAACCTCTCCCATCCCCAAACCGCGTACTGAGGCAGGCAGAGACCAGGCTGTTTTCTCCCTTGAGCCATACTTAACACCTCTTAGCCCAAGTAGGCCCTATCCTAGGCCCAGCAGGGAACAAAGCAAACAAAACAGACCCCGCCTTCCTGCTGCTTCCCAGCCTGGAGCCCAGGATGCCCTGGAACACACAAGGGCTTCAACCTGGCCTGGACAGAGGCAGAGCTCTCAGGCAGGGGGAGTGGGAGGGAACCATTCCAAGCAGAGAACTAGAAGCCAAGATTTTGAGGGGGAAAGGTGGTTAGTCTACCGTGCAGTGTCTAAAACAGCAGTAAGCACATAAAAGGTGCTCATCCTGGGCTATTTCTGAACCACTGAAGAGTGTTGTTGTTGTTGTTGTTATTCTTCGTTTCTGAGTCAGTCTCGCTCTCTAGTTCTGACTGGCCTTGAACTCGCTTTGTGGGCCAGGCTGGCCTGGCATTTGAGGCCGTCCTGTCCTCCTGATTCCTGGGATTCGAGGAGTGCGCCTCCTCCATGCCGGCTGGAGAATTTTGCTGGGAAGCTCCTTCTGGTTTAGACTTGATGTGAGTTCCACTTTTGAAGGAGGTGATAAGGGCCAATCCCTGTGCACTTGATCCTACTTAAAATGCTCCTCAGAATGCAGGCCAGTCCTTCACCCTGCTGAATTGTGGAGTCTTTGAACAAAAGGTCCACAGCCTGCAGCTCTGCTCCTGCAGAGGCCCAGCTCAGTGCAGAGCCCACAGGGTCAGGGATGTCCTCACTCTTCCAGGAGAGCCAGAGCCAGAGGGTCCTGCTGCAGGACAAGGATGCGCCTAATGCAATTGTAGACTCCTAAAGGAGTCCTTGGGGTTTCCTAGGACAACCTCACCGCACCCAGGGACCTGGGGTGGCCCTCAAGCCTCTACTCAGCAAGTGGCTAGAGAATTTCAGTGCAATGGATCACAAGCTTACCCTCAATTTCCCTCCTCGTGTTTATACTTCTGGGAGTACCTCTACCTTCTCAAAACACACAGCCAAGGGCAGAATACATGCTTCCACAGGGTGGGCCTTCAAATATTGTCAAGTAGCATCTTACGGCCCCCAGCTCCTAGAGAGCAGGATAGCATGCTGGTGGAAATATATGCCCTCGCCCTTCATTCTGAGTCTGTTCCCTCAGTGGGGACGGAGGGACAAGGACAGTGCCTGACCCACAGGGTGCAGAGAGTGTGGAATGGGGTGACATAGGAAGGGGCTTAAGGCCACGGTGCAAGGAGAATCAGCATCACCCCTTGCTGCGGAGATGGCTGTGATTACTACCACAGGTCCCTCTGTTTATTCGTCCTTTCCCGGGCACTTCTGACTCCTTCAACCACTTGTCTCCTACTAGCAGCCTCATCATCCTGCCCACCCTGCCCAGAATGAAGCAAGCAGCTCCAGGTGGGCAGTGGCCTGAGAAGAGTACCACAGGCTCAGCCCGCGCGTGCTTCCTACCCCTGGTGGCCACCACCTCCCCACCTTCAGGGACACCTTCCTCATTCTGGCTTTTTGGGTTTTCATTTCTGGCCGAGCATGGACATGAAAGTGTTCTTGCTACATCTTTTTTACGGATTTTGTCCAACGTCATTGTGTTTTGTCCCATCAGGTAGTATATGGTTGGCTTTTGTTTTTTAACAAAAATAGCTTCTGCCCTTTTAACTGGAATATTTAATTCATTTACATTTAGTGTCATTATTACATAGGTGGTTTTAAATCTAACATCTTCCTATTCATCTCCAAGGTTTCCTGTTTACTTTTGCTTTTCTAGTCTTCTTTTCCTGTCTTTTGGATTAATACATTTTTTGATATTCCATTTTATTATTCTATTTGCTTTGCATTGATTTTTATTGGTGAGTCTCGATTATAAAATATATCCTCAACCTATTACTGCCAATTTACAGTTGATATTTTACTATTTTATATAAAATATGAGATTACAATAGCAAAATTATGTTTATTCAAAATTAGGTAGTTATTTAGTTTGCCTACATAAGTAATAAAATCCCATAATACAATGCATTATTTTAAAATAATATTAAATGGGCCTGGGATTTAGCTCAGTGGTGCTGCCACCTGCCTCATAAGCACAGGGTCCTGAGTTTGATCCCTGGTACAAAAAAAAAGATAAAAATAATATTAAATACTCAGTATTTCAAAGAAATTAAGAAAAGATGTTCTGTTTCTAGTAATGTTCATTTTTCTGGGTTTTTCATTCATCCTTGTGGATCTAAGTTTCCATTTGATGATATTTCCTTTCAGCAGGAGAATGTCCCTTTGTGTTTCTTATAAAACACATCTGCTGTCTACAAATTCTCTAGGTTGTTGCTCTGGAAATATCTTTATGGTATCCAACCTTTGAAATATATATATATATTTCAAATTTTATTTTATTTATTTTTTGGTACCAGGGATCAAACTCGGGACCTTGCACTTGAGAGGCAGGCGGCGGAACCACTGAGCTAAATTCCCAGCCCCAGAGATATATTTTTAATGGACAAGGAACTTTGAGACTTTCCCTGTTGCAGAACTTTAAAGATGGCATTCCATTGTCTGCCAGAATCCATTATTTCTGAAAAGAAGTCATCTTTTATTTATAACCTCGTTTCCTTTTTTAATTTAAAAATATATTGTTGCTTTTAAGATTTTTCTCTTCATCTTTGGTTTGCAGTGCTTTGTCTACATTGTACCTAAGTGTGCTTCTCTTTGTATTTAAATTAAGTGATTGGTGAATTCTGTGATCATGACATGCTTGTTTCATTCTATGTTAGGACCAGTCTATTTCAATTTTGTACTTAATCTTATAACACAGCCTTCATTCCAAAGGCATGGTATTTCTAGAATTAAAAATAATATCTGAAATGCTCGCTTTATTGTCTTCACTGACTGGATTGGAATTCCAGCATCTCCCAGAATTACTTTTCAGCTCACAAGCTCAAAGTAGTTGATCTCTGGAGTCAAGGTCTTTGGCCAAGGAATTGAGATAATTACTGATCTCTGAGTCTGAATCTACCCCTTTGAACAGCTCTGTCTTCTCAGGTATTGTCATCCACAAATTCCAGCTTTACCAATAACCCCACACACTTCCTCTGACAGATTAGCTCAGTGGGATGACAACTATGCTTGGTTTGCATCTCCCTAGGTTGTCCCAAAAAAGTTTCCCCAGAGTGCCCATGAAGTCACCTCCTGAGTTTTCTTCTCTCAAGACCACAGTTCTGCACTCTGTCATTTCTTATTTAAAAACAGAAGCTTAATTTAAAGATCCAATCCAAAAATGGCTATCTGAAATGAATAGACATTTCTCAGATGAAGAAATAAAAATGGCCAATAAATTCATGAAAACATGTTGAAGCTTGCTGGCCATTTGAGAAATGCAAATTAGAACAACACTGAGATTCCATCTCACTCCAGAAAGAATGGCTACCATCAAGAAATCAACCAACAGCAAATGCTGGGGACAGAGAGGAACCATACTCCATTGTCAGTGGAAGTGTAAGCTGGTAGAACCACTATGGAAATCAGTATGTAGATTCCTCAAAACCCTAAAAGTAGAAATTCCATTTGACCCAGCTATTCCCCT